GACTTCCAGAGAGCTCTTTAGCCCTGGTGAAAGGCAAAGTTTGCAATAGTAGCTGCTTCAACAGCCGGGATACAGAATGGACCTTGAACAGAACTCCCAGCACCTTCTACAATGACTGAGAAAAACATATTATTAAGTGACTGAGATTTGGGAGCTTTTTGCTATCACATAGTTTATTTTATATTTACTCGCACATTCAGGCACTTTCCTTTCTGTAATGATAGATCCTTAGTATTGATCATAACACATAATCTATCCTCCCATTAATAATTCTTATAAAGTAGGGTGATATTGTAAATATTTGGAGGTAGACTTCAACTGTGTAAAGCTGCAGGAGAAACATGACAAATCCTTACATTTATTCAATGATATACCATAGTCTGGAAGGGAAGTTTTCAGAAAGAAAGAGCCTATTTCTAGAAAAAAAATTTGTTGTGTGTTTTTGTTTTCTGTTTTTAATATTTGGACTCTCCTAAGAAAAGTATCAAGAAAGTTATTCATTATAGAAAAATTAAGAAAAGTATTTAAAGCAATTTGAACACATATAGTAAGTGTGAATGCTTGTACAATTGTTTCAGATATACTTTGGTTTCTTATAATAAGTTTAAGCAAAGTCCAATTTCTTCTGAGCCATTGATATTCAAAGAATAATACATCCTACAATTTCCCTTTCAGACTGAAATATCCACAATTGTGGTCTATCTAATGTATTAGGGCAGATTTTTGGTCATTGGGGAACCCTTAGCATCTTAATAGAGCCATATCCTATTGGCAGAATTAAATCTCCATGAACTATACAAAGTATGCCAGTACTTTCTAAGTATTAGTATCTTCTTTTGTGACAAAGTTCCTTTTTGAATGAGCTATCTCTCAGTATATACACTAATACCATTCATCAGCATATCAAGAAATACTACCAAATGTTTAGTCCAGAATAAGTACTAAATTGTATTCCATTTTTGTATTTTATGGAGGGTCTCAGTCTACACTTAGAGCAACCATAGTTTGTCTTAAATGTGTAAACTTCATTAAACATAAATAATGCAGAAAAAATAGAAAACTAATTTATATCTATTATATGCCCCCCAAACAAGCATGATTTAAAGTTTGACAACTAGGGTCCAAATCTACTAGGTGTACTGGTTAATAATGGCGGATTTTGTAATCAAAGAAAACATGATAATTTCAATAGAAACATCAAAAGTGCTATATTCAAAATAATGTCCAGCACTAGCTATGCATTTCCCCCATCTTTCAGGTAATTTGTGGATACCGTCCCAATAGAACTTTTCTTGTTTTGAGGCAAACCACTCAGAGACCCAATTTTCCACTTCTTCGTACGTTTTGAAGTGCTGCTCAAAAAGTGCGTGTGCCATCGATCAGAACAAGGGGTCATCTGGAGGAACAAGGTCTGAGGAATACGGCGGGTGGGATAATACTTCCCAGGCAAGACCTTTTAATGTGTATTTAACTGGTTTTGAAATGTGTGATGGTGTGTTATCATGAAGCAAAATTACTTTGCCGTGTCTTCTGGCACATTCTGGTCATTTCACAATTAAAGTGTGGTTCAAATTGAATATTTGTTGTCGGTAGTGATCAGTATTAACCGTTTCACTTGGTTTTAGAAGCTTATAATACACCACACCTTCCTGATCCCACCAAATGCAGAGCATTGTCTTCCTTCTGAAGCAATTTGGCCTTGCAGTCCATGTCGATGGTTGACCTGGACCAACCCATGATTTTGTGCATTTGGGATTCTCAAAATAAATCCACTTTTCATCACCAGTCACAATTCGATGCAAAGAAGACTTTCTTTCATGCCGTTGAAGCAACATATTACTGATGACTTTTCAGTTTTCCATTTGTCTTTTGTTCAGTTTATGTGGCACCCATTTCCCTTCCTTTAAAATCTTTCCCATTTCATGTAAACGATTGGAAATTGTTTGCTGAGCAACGTTTAATCTTTCTGTAAGTTGTTTTTGAGTTTGACACACATATTCATCCAATAATGCTTGTAATTGTTGGTCTTCAAACTTTTTCAGTTGACCTGGACATTCTTTGTCTTTCACATTGAAATCATCACTTTTAAAGCGTTTAAAACAGCGTTCACAAGTATCTTGAGATGGAGCCTGTTGACCATAAGCTTCCCGAAGTATACGATAACTTTCAGCAGCACTTTTCTTCAAAATAAAGTAATGAATTAAACATCCCGCAAATGCTCTTTTTTGGCATGAAATTCAACATTTTTAAGCGTAAAAATATCTATGATGTTAACACCTTCAGCAAATTTGACATATGAAGTTTTGAAGTTTGCTGTCAATACAACAAAATAGCATACATACATATCAACATATGTGTAATTCCATCTATTGAAAAAAATCCGCATTATTAACTGGTACACCTACTAAATCCTATTTCTGCCACTTACCATCTGTGTTATGGGGCAAGTGCTTATCTTCTTAGTGCTTTATTTTCCTATTTTGCATACTGTGATCAATAACAGTATCCCTTGGTTCATAGTTTTGTAAGAACTTAATGTTATAATACATGTGAAGCATTAACTATAGCCCCTAGGTTAAAATTAGCCTTAATAATGCATGTTACTCTTATTATTGCTCTAAAAGAAAAAAAAATAGCTGAACTATGGGTGTATCTTAAGTATATATATTCACTTGAAATATTTTGGAAAAGAAATATAGAAAATGTGGGTCACTTTTCACACGAAAAGCTATGATTTTCTAAATATATAAGTCACTTGTTTCACATATAGCTAAAATTACCTAAGGAACTCTAGCATTTCTTCCTCACTCAGATTGCCATGAGATAAAGAATATATTTTATGCATTTTAAATTAACTATCAAACAGTTAATTAAAGGATGAGATAGTAGCTTCAAATCCAAAGGAAAACAGTAATGTCATAGAGATTTTAATAGGTTTCATGTGAAAATTCAAGTGTTTCATTATTTATTTCAACGAGTTTTACCTGTAAATCCAGTGAAAATGTACAATATTTTAACCAAGTTTCTGTCCCAACCTTAATACTTCATAGCAGTGATTTTCAACTTGTGTGTCACAAGAATTTTTAAAACCTGCAATACCTGACTATTTTAGTCAGGTGTACTGACCTCTTTTCCCTTAGATTGTCAAATAAAAAGATGACAACAGCCAACACAATAATAGCTGCCCAGAGTGGATTAATAACAATTATTCCTATTTTTTGTAATATTGGAAAAAAATATAATACCTATTTTTGGTGTGTGCAGAATTTTAGTAATCAATTCATATGTGTTATGAGATGAGAAACTTTGAAAATCTGCTGCTTTATAACCTTTCCTTCCCCATGGCAATGGTGTAGTCCTGCCATCTACTGGAAGATCTACATCACTGCAGGGACACATTCTGAAAATTCATAAAAAGCCTTAAATAAAAGACAAAATTACATTTTTGTGCTTTGATATTTTAAATTTTAAATATTGAAAGTGTATCTCAAAGGAAAAGTTATTTGATATTACAAGGGAAATTATTTAAATGTAGTATAAAAATGAGATATAAAGAATGCATAAGAGGCCCAACTTTGGGCAAGTGTAACAAATAGTGCACAATTATTAAAATAAATAGGGATCTATGAAGGTATAATGGAAATTTTGTGAAGGGATAATGGAAATTTTTATGTGTCATAATAATTCATTAGCCATAACCTATAATTTTACATCAATTGGAAATCTTTCTTAACATGTTCTTAAACTTAGAAATAAACCTCAATTGTCAAAATAATAAGTTTTAAAGCACCAAAGAACAAAAAAGAAAGATGAAATATAATAGATTTCTATATATACACATGTAAATACACACAATCATGTTTTAGTATAATAAAAACAAGAAGCCCATCATCATTTGTTGTTTTGTAATTCTGATTTTCTCAAGATTAAAATCTGGCCAAGCCTGACCTGATGGCTAGAACTTCTAACTTCAAGTACAGTGGTCTTGCTATCACTCAGTAGTACCTCAGTAACCTAAGCCTTCTTCACAACATGATGGTTTAAACTACATAAGTTAACAATTTCATTTGAAAAAATTATCTAGCATATACAGAGATGTCAAAAATTATAGTTTTATGTATTTTTCACATGTATGCATGAATAAATAGGTAGATAGGTAGATAGATCATTTGCAAGAAACACTGCTAAATATTAGGGATCAAAGGTGTTACTGAAAAAGTAATAAATCTGTGAGAAAGTAAAGTGAACTCCAAAAGGCCAGCCCATCCCAATATTTGTGAGACCTGAGGCCTCCTGATCCCTTGGGCTGCAGTCCACCGGTCACTTCTTCCCACCCCCGACTCCATCTCACGTTACAAAGAAGCTTCATTCACATGCCTCTAAGACACCCAGTCCACAAGTGCAAGCCTAGATGCAGCCCCCTACACACCCACCTCCACCCTCATCAGCAGGCACCCAGAGTTTGGACCAGGAATTTGGAACCTCTAATACTTAGAATGTGCAAAAGTTGTGGATTTTGCCTTGACACTCAGGCACCTCACTTTGTGTGGAAGGGCAACTGTAAAAGGACAGGCAGAGTAGGGTCCGTTAAAGGGTCTAAGGGTGGTACTGAAATAAGGGTAGTTTACAAAAGGACACATTTTATGCTAGCTAGAGGGTGATGGCATGGTGTGCAATGAAGGTGTCAGAGGGTATCCTCAGGATCACCATTTTCCTTAGCTGTGCATTCCAGGGTTTTGTTCTAGAATGGAGAACATTGAACTTTCCATGGAAGCAAAGAAGACAGGAATTAAGGGCAGCTCTCTCTGTATGCTCCTATCAGTCATGAGGGTCTTAAGTGCAAAGTTAGCACCTCTGACTTGTGACATCAAACTAGGGAGATCAATTTTCCCTTCAAATGTAAGGAGTCTAATCTTCAGTCTGTTTTCATTTTGCATGCAAGAACTTGCCAGATACAGAGGGAATTATTTCATCATGTGCAGGCACATGTATTGACTTACCATGCTGTTCATTTTTGAAGATGACGAACCTGCTCTTTGCTTTCTTAGACTATTAACTTCTTCTACATTTCCATCTTTTGGTTTCAAAATCATTCTGCTACTCCCCGCAGTTCCTTCTGATGAAGACCGCAGTCGTCTCTCTATAAATCTTCCTTCACGATATGGACTGAGGCTACTGGCAAGAACTATTACAAAAGATAAATAAATAAATAAATAAATAAATAAATAAATAAATAAATAAGAATATACATGTTTAAATGTAGTTTTCATAAATGTTTCATTGAAAGTATATGGGAAACACTCAGTATCATTTAAAAATTCTCTCTCACAGAAAACTTTTAAAATTAATAGTGCTAGTTTAGTTTGCTTAATCATGTAATTACTTTGAAGCCTAAAACTTTTGGAATCAGCCCGGCCAGTGTACTCAGTGGTTGAGTGTCGACCTATGAACCAAGAGATCATGGTAATATTCCTGGTCAGGGCACATTCCTGGGTTGTGGGCTCAATCCCCAGTGTGGGGCATGCAGGAAGTAGCCAATTAATGATTCTCATCATTGATTTTTCTATCCCTCTCCTCTTCTCACTTTGTCTCTCTGAAATTAATTATATCAATTATATCTATACTAGGGGCCTGGTGCACGAAATTCGTACACTGGGGGGTCCCTCAGCCCAGCCTGCCCCCTCTCACATACTGGGAGCCCTCAGGGGATGTCCTACTGAGAGCTTAGGCCCGCTCCCTGCTCCCCTTAGGGAGCAGGCCTAAGCCACAGTCTGGCCTCCCTTTGTGGGAGGCAACCGGCTGATCAGGGGAAGGTACCAGCCCCATCACCCCGCTGCTGCAGCCACTGCCAGTCACCACAGCCACCAAGGTGTTTTCATCAACACAAACTCCAGTCCCTTCACTATGAAAAAATGACAATTTTCTTTAGGCATTTTCAAGATATGTCTTTCATAGGATATGACATTTCTTTCTTTTTTTTTTATCCTCACCTGAGGATATGTTTCCATTGATTTTTAGAGAATGTGGAAGAGAAAGGGAAAGACAGAGAGAAACATCAAAGTGAGAGGAACACTTTGATTGGTTGCCTCCTGCATGAGCCCTGACATGGGCCCTGGCCAGGGAGGAGCCTGCAACCTAGGTACATGCCCTTGGTCAGAATTGAACCCAGACCCTGTGGTAGGCACGCCGAGGCATTATCCACTGAGCCAAACCAGCTAGGGCAGGATATGACATTTCTTAGCCCTCCAGCAGCAGACCTTCGTTTTTTTCTCCAGGAGTAAGGTGGAAAAACCCTAGATCACCTTTTTAGATTCTTATTACCCAAGTTACTAAGAATATTACCAGTGGCCTACAGGGAACTTAGCCAATGAGCGGTCAGAAAAGGTGTTTCCTCTATAGTTCACACTGATCGCCGGTTTGGCCCCAGCTCCCTCCAATCACCGGCTCGGCCCCTGCCCAGGCCTAAAGCCTCAGGGCCTGGGCAGGGCCCCCCCCCATTTCCCGCCAATGGCTGGCTCCTTCCCTGCCCAGGCCTAAAGCCTCTAGCCCAGGCTTTAGGTCTGGGCAGGGGTCCCCTCGGCTCCGATGGCCGGCTCCGCCCCTGCCCAGGAGCCCCCTTGCTCAGGCCCTTCCTATGCTGCTCAGGGCCCACAGAGGGTCTACCTCAGAGTGACCTGGGTGTTAATGATGTTCCCGGGACCCAGGCCGCTGGGCGCCTACCTATGCAAATTAACCGCCATCTTTGTTGGTTAATTTGCATACCCATCCGATTGGCTGGTGCGCATGGCGAAGTGATACCAATTTGCATGTTTCTCTTTTATTAGTGTAGATGTGTGTGTGTGTGTGTGTGTGTGTGTGTGTGTGTGTGTAAAACCAACAGTTGAATCTTTGGAAAAATAAACAAAGTTGACAAACCTTTAACTTGGTTCATCAAGAAAAATGAGAGAGAACCCAAATAAACAAAATCAGAAATTAAAAAAGAGAATTAACAACTGCCACCATAGCAATACAAAAGATTGTAAGAAAATATTACCAACAACTATATGCCAACAAATTGGACAACTGAGGTGAGATGGATCAATTCCTAAAAACATACAATCTGCCAAAATTGAGTCAGCAAATATCAGAAAACCTGAATAGACTGATTATAACTAATGAAATTGAAGCAGTGGTGAGAAAACTCCCAGCAAATTAAAGTCGTACACTAGATAGCTTCACAAGTAAATTTTATCAAACATTAAAAAAAGAACTAATATTTATCCTTCTCAAACTATTCCAAAAAATTCAAGAGGAGGGTAGACTTCCAAGCTCATTTTACTAGGCCAAATTATTTGGATAATTTGGATTATCCAAATCCAAAATTAGATAAAGACACTACAAAGAAAAAATATATAGGCCAATATCCCTGATGAACATTGATGCTAAATACCTCAACAAAATATTAGCAAATCAGATTCAGCTATACATTAAAAAGATCATACACCATGTCAAGTAACATTTATTCCAGGAATGCAAAGATGGTACAATATTCACAAATTATTAAACATGATACATCACATAAACAAAATGAAGAATAATCACATGATCATATTAAAAAAGCATTTGATAAAATCCAGCACCCATTTATGATAAAAATTCTCAGAAAAGTAGAAATAGAAATAACATACCTCAATGTAATAAAGGCCATATATGACAAACCCATAACCAACATTATACTCAATGAACAAAAAATAAATGTGTTTCCTTTAAGATCAGGAACAAGAGAGGGATGTTTGCTTTCACCACTCTTATTCAACAAAGTACTGGAAGTTCTAGTCACAGCAGTCAAACAAAAAGAAATAAAAGGCATCCAAATTGCAAAGGAGGAAGTACAACTGTCATTGTTTGCAGATTCCATGTTACTGTAGATAGAAAACCCTAAAGACTTCACCGAAAACCTATTTGAACTGATAAAATGAATTTGGCAATGCAGCAGGATACAAAATTAATGCCCAGAAATCTATGGCATTTTTATAAAGCAACAATGAATAATCAGAAATAGAAATTAAGAAAACAGTACTATTTACAATTGCAACAACAACAAAAAATAAGTTCCCTAGGAATAAATTTAACCAAGGAGGTAAAAGACCTTTGGTCAGAAAAAGAAGAAAGGATGGAAGATACAAATAAGTGGAAGCATATACTGTGTCCATGGATAGGAAGAAATAATATCATTAAAATGTCCATAATACCCAAAGCAATCTCTAAATTCAATGCAATTCCTATTAAAATAGCAATGGCACATCTCACAGTGTTAGAACAAATATTCCAAAAATTTATATAAAACCACAAAAGACTCCAAAGAGCCTCAGCAATCTTGGAAAGAACAAAGTTGTAGGTGTCATGCTACCTGATATCAAGTTATACTACAAGGCCATGTTAATCAAAACAGCATGGTACTGGCATAAAAACAGGCATATAGATCAATGGAACATAATAGAGAGCCCAGAAATAAACCTATACCTTTATGGTCAATTAATATTTGAAAAAGGAGACAAGAATATATAATGGGATAAATACAGTCTATTAAATAAATGTTGTTAGGAATATTGGACAAAATATTGCAAAAATATGAAGCTAAACCACCTCCTCACACCATAACAAAAATAAATTCAAAATGGATTAAAAACTTAATTTGAGTTGTGAAACTATAAAAATCCTAGAAGACATAGGCAGTAAAATCTTGAACATTTCTCATAGCAATATTTTTTCTGATATATCTCCTCGAGTAAGGGAAACAAAATTTTTAAAAAAATTAAAATGGGACTACATCAAACTAAAAAGCTTTTACAAAGCAAAGGAAACCATCAATAAAATGAAAAGGCAACCCACTGAATGGGAGAACATATTTGCCAATGATATATCTGATAAGGGGTTACTTTACAAAATTTATAAAGAATTTATATGACTCGATACTAAGAAAATAAACAACCCAATTTAAAAATGGCCAAAGGACCTGAATAGACACTTCTCCAGAGAGTACATGCAGATGGCCAGTAGATGTATAAAAAGATTCAAATATCATTAATCATAAGAAAAATTAAAACTATAATGAGATATCCCCTCACAACTGTCAGGATGGCTATCATCAATAAATCAACGAACAACAAGTGTTGTGGAGGATGTGGAGAAAAGGGAACCCTCGTGCACTGTTGATAGGAGTACAGATTCGAGCAGCCACTGTAAAAAACAGTATAGAATTGCCTCAAAAAATAAAAAATGAAACTGTGTCATGACCCATCTATCCCATTTCTGAAAATACTTTGTAAGAAACCCAAAACACTAATATGAAAGAATATATGTATCTCTATATTCATTGTAGCGTTATTTATAAGAGCCAAGATCTGGAAGCAGCCCAAGTGACCATCAGTAGATGAGTGAATAAAAAAGCTGTGGTACATTTACTCAATGGAATACTACTCGGCCATAAAAAAGAAGGAAATCTTACCTTTTGTGACAGCATAGATGGACCTGGAGAGTATTATGCTAAGTGAAATAAGCCAATCAGAGAAAAACAAATACCATATGATCTCACTTATAAAGGGTGTCCCAAAATTCACGCAAGAAGTAATTTTGATAGAAAACACAGGTTTATAATTAAAAATTGTACATTTTTTATTGATTCATAAAGTATACAGTATAGGGTTATGTATGCAATAGCATATCACGTAAATGGCCTCCACAGCTTTGCTGGCACATATGCACTCTTTTGTTATTGCCTGAGCAGCTGCATTTTCGAAGAAGAATGGTCCGATGATGCCTCCAGCCCAAAATCCGCACCAAACAGTGACACGTTGTGGATGCATTTGTTTCTCAACAATCACTCGTGGATTTTCTGAACCCCAAATGCAACAATTTTGTTGATTAACCAAGCCATGAAGATGAAAATGAGCCTCATTGAAATTCAGCCACATTTATGTAAAATGGTCATGGAAAATTTCAACAAAAGAGTGCATATGTGCCAGCAAAGCCGTGGAGGCCATTTACCTGATATGCTATTCCATACATAACCCTATACTATATACTTTATGAATCAATAAAAAAATTACAATTTTTGATTATAAACCTGTGTTTTATATCAAAATTACTTCTTGCATGAATTTTGGGACAACCTTTATGTGGAATTTAATGAAACAAAATAAACACAATAGAAACAGATTAATAGATACAGAGAACAGACTGACAGCTCTCAGAAAGAAGGTTGTTTGGTGATTGCCAGAAGGAAAAGGGGATGTGGGGAGGCAGAAGAGAGCAAAAAGAGAACAAATGGTAGTGGTAAGAAACTTTGGGTGGTGAGTGCACGATTCGGTATACAGATGGTGTCTTATTAAGTTGTATACTTGAAACCCATATGGTTTTATTAAACAATGTAATATATTAAATTCACTTAAAATAATTTCTATAATTTTTTAAAATGTAGCTATAGCTAAAAGTCTGGAAATAAAATGCCAAAATGTCAATATTTGATAATTCTGACAGACTAGAAGCAATTATTTCCTTTGTATTTCACAATGTTCCTTTAATTTTTACAATGTTTTTTACATGAAAATATTGAGGATAACTTATGCACAGCTTCACTAGGTCAGATAATTTTATTTCATATTATAATTATAAACATGCAGAATGGACAAAATGAATAGAAAAAGAACAAAAAAGTAGGCGGATACATAAAAATGATCTTATATCAAATATAAAAAAACACTAAGCTATATAATTATATCACTGAACAATTACTTCATGGATTTAAAAGTTTAAAATTAATCATGGAGGGACTAGTTAGATAAATCATAGAATGTTATGATTCATAACATTATAATATACAATTTGACTTATAAATCTTATTTTATATTTTATTATTATTATTCCTAATGTTTTAGAAAGAGCCAGGGTCATATTTGTCTTATAGCCTGGCCATTAAGAACCTGAGCTTTGGATTGAGATAGCTGTAACTGTGGCCAAAGTTGTCACAGTGGGATGCCATGCTTCCACTTTTAGAAAATACATCGGCTTCAGAAACAGAATCTTCAGTCAAGACTAAAATCTCTGAAGGTGTCTGAGCTGTGGTAAAATCAGCAGAAAGTAATGAAGATTGTAAAGAGCTTCCTGCCCGTTCTTACCTGCTCTATGGTCTCTTGATTATAGTTTTCGCGTTTGTTAACTGGGAAATATACTAGTGCCTATCTCATGGGGTTTGTGTCCAGAACAATTACATACAATTTGTAACTTTGGACACATTACTTAACCTACCTGTGCTCCAACTGTTTTGCCTGTACAGTGTGCTATAACAAGAGGAGTGATCTCAATGATTTGAGGACTAAATGAATTAATGTATCTAAAGAGCACAGGACAGTGAGTGGAACAGAAAAATCTTTCAATGTTGGGAGAACTAGTAGTAGTAGTAGTAGTAGTAGTAGTAGTAGTAATAGTGGAATATATTCATTACAATAATTAAGAAATACCAATATTCCACCATAAACTCTAAAAAAGACAATCCTTGCTTTAGATAAAGCCACATGGAAAATAAAATGTGTTTTCTTCCACTTTCTTCTGAGGGTCAGATTCTGGATAACACAACTAAGAAAAATGAGTAATATTGCTGAATTACATTTTTAGCAAAATGTAAGCTTAAAATCAAATAGTGAACAAATTTCAAATTATAAACAGGAAAGAATATTAGAGTAAAAAAAGGAAAATGTGGTTTCAATTAATGACATGGAGTAAGAAAATTCAATAATTATAATAAAAATTATAATTTATACAAAGAAAATCAGTATACCTTTGGCAGGATTGGCATCATATCCATATGTTTTGTTAAAAATATGACGATCACCAGAAGAAGGTATTATCCTTGAATCTGATATAGGATGAATCCCTTTAACACGTTCAGCTATTGCTTTATGTTGCTCATAAAATCCAAGTTTCCTTGGGGAGCTTGTTGTCAACATTGTATCACCGTTTTGTAATACCATATGCTCTTCTCCTTGAGTATCTGCTGATAGGTGATTCTCTAAGTCACTCCCATTTGTAACAGAGAGTTCAGAGATTTGCAATAACACTTCCTTCTGATTAGCAGCAGAGGTTTCTGGTAAGGAATTAGATTCAGTGCTACATCGACCTTCTAACCTATATTTCCCAGGAGACATAATTGCACAGGGAACAGTTCCTATATGGTCTATTGTTGCCTTTGTAACAGCAGCAGGATTGGGAGAGATCTGAGAGGTAGAATCATTGTGGCCAAAGTTGTCACAGTGGGATGCCATGCTTCCACTTTTAGAAAATACATCGGCTTCAGAAACAGAATCTTCAGTCAAGGCTAAAAACTCTGAAGGTGTCTGAGCTGTGGTAAGATCAGCAGAAAGCAATGGGGATGGTAAAGAGCTTCCTGCCCGTTCTGTTACATCCACAGAGCAAGATGGAGAAGCTCTTACTGATACAGGTTCTCTCTCTTGGAACTGTGTAATTTCCAATGAGAATTCAGACTGCTGTACCAATGAAGTGGACTGGCTCGGTGGAACTGGCTTAGAAAATTTATAGTGAGAGGAAAAGGATTTAGTAAGCAGCTTCTTTGTTGACTGCTTAACAGAACGGCGAGTTGGTTCTTCTGTGAATCCAGAATCATCCCCTTCACTTTTGCCAGAACTTAAGCAATTTATAAAGACATTCTTATTAGTTGAGTGCTCCTTCTCCCTTTCAAAATCCTCTGTCAAAGATCTTGTTATCTTCTTATTTCTTGAACTACTAAAACCAACAGAATGTCTTCCCCTGGTTTTAATATATTCTTCCGAAGTCAGTTTTTGCATACTGCTGTGACCAGCTTGAGCACCATTTGAAATACTAAGGTTCTGGTTGGTAGGTTCTTGCTTAGGTTCACTCCCCTTCTTATGGTGGAAGCTAATGGAAGGAGTTCGGAATATGCTCCTGCGTTTACCTGTACTACCTGAGCTTGAGTTTGTGCTGGAAGGTGAGGAACTGTGGACACCAACTGTATTACTGGAGGAAGGTGAAGAAGGAAGAGAATCATGTCTTCTGCTAATACTTCTTCTGAATATTGGCAACCTGGAGACCAGGGTAGATCGTCTTGATCCAGAGTCCCCCATTGGGACCCCAAAGCTTGCACTGTGATATCCAACTTAGCAGCCTGGGAAAAGTTAAGACAAAAAGAACAAGTCAATAGAATTCAATTATAAATAAGACATTTTGAAATAAATAATTGTTCTTCAAGACACAAAATATAATTATGTTTATATTAAAACAGTAAATACTAAAATTCTGATACTTAAAGATTTTATTAAAAATTTGTAAGTGGCAACATTAGAGAATATTTTAAAGCAACTTTATGATGCTGCAAAAATTTCATGATTACCCGGAGTATTTAAAGTCTATTCAAATGAGTATTGGGTTGGGAGACACAAGATCATTATTCAAGAGCCAGCCTTACTACATACTCTGGTTCTACATACTCTTACTAGTACATACTCTGGTAATTCATTGAATCTTAACCTTTTATGTCTATTTGTTTAGATGTAGTAGGCATGTGGCAGCCATGATCATTGCCCTCTGGGTAAAATGTCCCACCGCTGCCTCTGTTAGCCAGCACCAGATAGACCATGGGTTTCAACACATTATTCACATGAACTGAATAGAATCACAGACCAGCCTAAGGTATGAGCTGATATTAGAGGCTCCACTCAAAGGATAAACAACGAGGATGCATTCTTCCTCTCGGAGTTTGATTTAGGACATTTAGAGATACTAAGTACATTGGCAGAGGCAACTAAACCACGAAAGAATATAGTGTGGAGTTATAAGCAAGATAAAGTTATGAAGAAACCACAACTATGAGTTGAAGACAAGACCTGATTGAAAGCTAATTCAACAGGTAAGAATACAGACTGAGAGGAGAAGCATGGAAAATTCTGAATCATATTAATATCAGAGTACTGATGATGGAGAAGAAGGAAGAGGAGAGCGTAGCAGATGTTCAACTATGATGTACTGGGTACTTTTACACAGTTTATCTCTTTTAATGCTTCTGCGTGGAGAAGTAGATACTACTACTATGGACATTTTATAGCAGAAAGATAACTTGCCTAATGTCACTCAGTTAATAAGTGGTAAAGCAGGAATAAGAAGCTAAGTCTTATCTAACTACAGGATCAGGTCATAATCAGCATGGCTTGTACTGCTTTCACTAGAGTGAAAAGGCAAGGCCCAAACACGCTTCCATTTCAGGGATTCCTGGTTGTATGGTCAATATTGCTATTCTGGTGACTGCTATTTTTCACTAGTTTTCATAATGTGTCATAACATGGCTCCTGTTTTGTTTTGCTTTGTCTCTAAATTTCACTTAATACCTTAACTATAATGTACATGCTCCGTTTGTCAACTTGATTAAGGCTCTATTTCATTTTGTTGCTTTTTGCAACCAAAACGAAATAATAACAAATACACATAAAATGACAAGCCCTCCATTTTATCATCTTTACTGATATGAGACTGAGAAAGTAAAATGTTCTCATGTCCTTAAAGAAGTATATGACAATAATGGAAAATATTTTCTCTTTCAGATATGCATTCATATATACTTAATATTTTGTCCCAAATAATAAAAAATGTAACAGTTTTGCATTATTTGATTTTCTGGATGATTTTTAGTTATACTCACTGAATTTGAATTTAAATTAAACTGTGTATGAACCACTCCCAATATATTTAAGTATTCTTATAAGGCTTTAGGTGAAGAGAACTTAAAATATAAACACAGACACTAGCTCTTGAAATCTTTCACAAATCAAAAATATCTCATTTTCTTCCCAGCTTAAATTTTTCAAAATGGATATAAAATATGATACATTTTTTCATAATCTCACTCTTAATAATGCTTTAATTAACATCATTCTCAGCTGTGATTTTTTCATTTACATGCAAGATTTATTTCCATCAAATGCCCAGTGAAGATGTGGCTCTCATTAGAGCATTATCAACCATAATGATTTGCAGCTGGTGATGAACCTATGGCCTTCAATGCATTAATGTCAAGATATTTATCATTTGTATTGACACAGTATAAGAACTTACGTATACTGAAATATTTGTTGGCCTTTTAAAAATTATTTCTTGCATTTGTATCATCATTTAAAAACAAAAGAGTGACTCAGTTCCATATTTCTTTAGTAAGTATTCAAAAAATTTAACTAATAAAAATTCAGAAAAAAATATTATAATAATTACTCCTCTTCCTAAGTATTTAATGAAAATGACCAGGTTTCCATTGGGTACAAAAAAAAAAATTTAGGCTACTAATATATTTTTCATAATTTATTTAAGTAAAACATCAGAGAGATACTAAGAGCTATTTATACACTGAATGGATGATATGGAGTGAACATAAAATCTATTAGAGACAAAAATTCTTTAGATTTTACGTTGTCTACTTACAGTCTTTTAAATTAAGTTCTTTATTTCCTACTGAGAGCTTTCCAGCTAAACAAGAGACAGATCAAATATCTGTAGTTTGGAATTATCAACATTTTTTAGAGAGACTCTAAGGTCTGGATGCTATCTACATCTCCAGATTCATTATCCCACTTCTCCCACTTTATTCTCCAGTTACACTGATTATACTTTCCATTTTCTGCCCACTTTCACCTTCTGGGCATTTGCAGATGTGGGTGCACCTGCTTGGCATGCCCTTCCTAGGACCTGATGTGGCAATATTCCTATTTCCATGACATCATTCATTCCAGGACGCCATCACTGACCCTCCTTCCCACCCTCCTCCATTTCAGATATCCTACTCCTTTATGAATCCTAAAATATTACTTTATAAAGTAAGAATCTGTTTATTAACCTGACTTTACTATTTACCATAAGTTTGTTAAGTAGCAAAGGCCATCGCTGCTTTGCTTTGAGATCCCACTGCCTAGTATAATACACAATTAATACCTATAGAATTGGTGGATTTTGCAAACTGAAGCTTCATCTTGAACACATCAGTATTTCAAATATAAATAAGCATCTGCTGTCTCACCACCATAAATAAATGCTATAATTTGCAGTTACTTATGCTGAACTATGACTTTTAGAGGTTCATAAGTTTAAAGCTTTTCAAGCTGTAATATTATTTAATAATCTAAAAGCTGCCAATGTATAAAAATACAATGCTAAACATGTTTAATAAAAGAATATATCATCACATCAACTTCAATTATTAATGAAAAACCAATATAACATTACATGTTAATTTTATTTTTATTATGATTTTATTATATTTTTATTTAAATTTTATTTAATTCCTTAGCAAACCTTGTATATATTTTCATATTTTTAAAATAGATTTCCAAATCAGATAACAGATAAAATAGACATATTTTTCACAATTCTCCTCTAATATTTCTTGGTTCAGAAGTCTTAGCCACTTTAAACATAACAGCTCCTAAAAATATATGATTGGACTAGACCTTCCCATTGTCCAGGGGCCTTTACAACCATAAATATTATATTCTTCAGAAAAGTACATTCTTCATATAAAAAGGGTGTCCTCTAATTATACCTTTTAAGCTGTATAAATAAGCAAAAATACTGATTTGTAGGCAATATCACTACACAGATGCATGCTGACCCTATTAGAAGTGGTGTGAAACTCAGTGTGATCTCAACTGAAGAAATGGTTTCCTTTGTTCTTTAGTATCAGGATTTAACAAAAAACTCCCAGAAAGTACTTTATCCAGTGATCTCTTAACAAACACTATCATTGCTCTTAACAGAGTACAACATTATATGGTGGATCTATTCTGAATAAAAGGAGAGGGGAATTTCTTGTTTGGTATGGTTGAGGAAAATATGGATTATAATTTAAGGAGTTATATGAACTGCTACTATGTTAGCTATTTAAAATTAGAGCACAAATAAAACACATTAAAGAAGTTAGAAATACTGAAAAAAGACTTCCATGATTCCAAAGGCCTTATCCAAAGGCATAACACAACCTTGCATTGTTTCAGAGATATAATCTTGGAAACTGATTCCCATATATACAAACAGATATATCTTTCTGTGCAAGTAACAGAAGCAAAGCAAAAAAACCCTTCACCCTTTCCTTTCCCAATATTTTTCAAACATTTCCTTAGAATTTTGACAACCCTCATATTTCTCCACTGTGAGCCCAAGGTGATAAAGAGTCACCGGATGTTCATTTGGTTTGTTTCTCTCCCCAAACTGATGGTATTTTTATGAAAAAAGCAAAACTAAACAAGACATACACATGCAATTAGCAAAAATAAATAAATATACACACATGCAATCAGCAAAAATATAATAATAATATAGTTTCAACTCCAAGTTCTGCCACATACTAGTAACATGAACTTGAACATAGGTAACAATTATTTTGTAGTGATTTCTTGTAAGGATAAGAAGGCACAACATACAAACCTAACACTCTGTCTGGTATAGAGTATATTTTCAATTTCTTTCTTTTCAAGGAAATGCATTCAAACAAAAGTGTCATGGTGGTGCAGCACATACATAGAGTGATTATGATAATGAGCTACTTTTCAAATCTGTCCCAAACCCTCTAATTTAAAAAAATCATTAAAACTATTGGGGGAAAGGAGATATGTAAATTTAAATTGAGATCAGTATTCTATTTCCTTATGATGAACCTCCCCAAAGTATACACTTTTATTGGACTTTAAAAACAATGATCAATATTTGTGAGAAATGTTGCATGAAATACATCCTGTCCCAGTTCTACTCTTTCTCAGAAAAGATTTTAGAAAATAATCCAGTAAAGCCTAAATGACCATGCTGAAAAGAAAACCTATGATACATGATAAAATGGAAGAAAGAAAACTCACAGAAACCAAACACTCTCTAGATAACAATTTTTCAACATTAAGAAAATGATGGCAAAAAAATAAAAAAGAAAGAAAATAAATCATATGTAAATATACCAAAGGGCATTGATCAATTTTTATTACAATTAAATAGGATAAAAGCTTGAAGAAATTTCCAAAACAATCTTATCTAATTATGTCATTTAGCCACAGATTTAAATGAGGCTCACACCTGTTAGGTGGTTAGTGTTTAGCTGGAAAGCCTTCCAGACTCTTTCTATTACAAAAGCCATGCAATTTC